CCAATTAGAGCTCGTCGATTTTCTATCAGTTTAAATTAAACGTTGCTTTTTTGGTTCAGAGAAAGCCTTTTGTTATGTAACAGTAACATATATCAATTTATGCAAATAGTATGCAAATGAATCTAATCTTTCTTGCAATCCATCTTGGAAAGTATTTGGCTATCTTTACGGCCAGGAATGCTTATGTTAATAACGTTATTCGTAAAAGAACGTAGACCTCCTACACAAGTGTGTAGTTCCCGTTAAACGTTATAAAGCTATTAAGATTGAAATTCAGATTACTCAAAGATAATTTTTGCTTCCCAACTTTTACTTTTGCATATTTGTAAATCCATCTGTGTTAGTGCCAAAGCTCTTTGCTTAAACTTACATTTTTTATAATAATGCTTCTTGTTCTGGGCTTATATTTTATATTCTGTATTTTTGCTTATGATAGAAATTATTATATTTATTGAACCATCTCAATTCTCGCAAAAGTTATAAAAAATACGTAATCAGACGTCTTAGTCTTTTTTCTCTTGGAGAAAGTGCTCATAAATGGAATTGGTTTTAAAAAAGGAAAGGGGTTTGAAAAATTTTGGGAAAAAAATTCGAGAATCTAATTCTACTATTTCAGTTGCTTAAGGAATATTTTTAAAATATTAAAATCAAACGTACATGCTTTCGGATAAATAATAGTTGTTTTTATAAGTTAAATGATTGAGTCCATTAAAGTATTATCGTTTGAGTATCTGATCTAATCCCTGCAGACTTTTTTCTGGATTATATATGAATTGATCAAATGAAATCACTCTTCCATTCTTATTGATGCTCGTTGTACATTTGTCTCTCTGTAACTGATGTATTTGTTTTCTTCGGGTTTTTTATTTATGCATTTATGTGGCGGTGTGGTGATTCGAATAGAGGGTCTATTAAATTGTAGGTAGCAAACTATTTATCAACAGTTATGTCTATGTATTACCTGTCGATGTTTTATTTGCGTTTTATTGTTATTATACATTATATTTTTTGAAAACTGTAAATATTTGACGTTGCGGTTATTGACTTCCCTTCGTAGACCTTAAATGTCCTTCTAGCCATCAGTTCTAGATTTCATTTATTGAGTAGTAAATAGAAAATAAAAAGTACAAAGTAAATATATGGTTATTATTACTGATATGTTGCTGCTTTCTATCATTATGGTAAATTTTGTGTCTATCTGTATGATATACTATCAGCGCATGTGAGGCGTTGTATTCACAAATCTTTCCGTTAAATCTTGTATTAATTTGATTCGGGCCCTGTGTATTCACTTTAGTTTTTTTATTCAATATTTCTCTAGTAAATGTATAAGAATAGCAGAAAAGTGCACTAGTTTTCCATTGATCTATGGATTACTTTATTTGTAATTTAAGTTAGTTTTATAGTCGATAAAGCCAATTTTCTATCACAATAGTACTTCTATGATTATTTCCAGCGATCTTATGGACCCGTTTTTTATACATGGATGTAGGAAGTTCTTACCTTACGATGCAATGCATATACAAGCTTGTATCTATTGTTAGTCGATTATATTCAAACTAAACCAATTGAAAATATTCTCAAATAAATCATTGTGAAATTTGCCAATTAATTTTGCTGCTAATTTAAATTCAACCGAACGTGATAAATAACTTTGAGTAAACACCTGTTGAAACTGGCAAAGTTAAATGTCGAAAATTGTACAATTCATCTCAAATATAAGTAACGTTCGTAATTCGTTTTATCAATTATTGCTGTTGAAACTGAAAGTTTAACATTAGTAAACTTCCCGTATTAAGTGAATCCGACCAGGAAATCATTATATTACTAAAATACATCATTATGCAAACTCATCGAATGTAAGTAAGGCTCATCTTCTTCTCTTGTAATTTAAAGCAGAACGTAATCTAACGTGCCCTATTTTATTTAGCCCTTTTGCACGAACAATAATCATGCAGTCCTAGAATCATAATTCACTCAGTGTATTTCATGTAAATTGAAATAAAACTGCACATTCAATATCATTACCTGGCTAGCGTGAATATGTAAACTTGGCTTATTTACAGTATTCTCTCGGAATATTTTAATTATTTTGCTTTATTATATTCAAAATACTTTCCCTGCCTTTCATTGTTTCAAGGAAATTCTTTAATATTTGCGCTCTTTGTGCTTAGTATCGGTTGATCTAGTCTGTAACCAGTATAAGGCTTGATAAATATTAATTGTGGTATGATTGGACGTTGTGTGATTTAAAGATGTAAGCAATTTTTCGTATTCTGAACTTATTAACGATTCATTATTTAGATCAAGTTTTTTGTCATCAAACTTTGTGTATTAGTTACTTAGCTGGATATGTAACGTGTATTAAGCGCATTCGTGGTTCTAGTAGCATATGTAATTGGTTTTTCTAAGAGCAAAGAGCACGTTTCCTGTTAAGTTCCATATTAATGTGACGCTAATACTCGAAGGTATCAATGCAATTTAAATTTTTTATATTTCATAGAATTTTACAAGAAACATCTTAATACCTGAATATACTGCAAATTGACCGTTACCCAGAAAATACAATTTGACTAGTACTCCACTGCTGTTGCAGTTTTTGCAAAAAGTTAAGCATTTTCGGAGTCACAACAAAGTTTTTCTTTGACGAGTTTGGAGACAAAATCTGCTTTAAAAGTGCTTTTACACAGCTTCAATTGCATATCGATTCGCATTCTTTTAAATTTTGTTGCGTTGATTTGGATTAATTAATCTGAAGATGATTTGCAAACAGCATTCATTCAGAAATGAATGCAAAAAAACAAAAATAAGACATAATAAAAGTAGTAAACCTTTTAACCTTAACACATCAAGTTATATAAAGGGACACTTTACAGCTACTATATTATGACAGCAGATAAGTAAAATTCAAAAATATTTAGTGCGAAGCATGATTGGATACGTTGCGTACTTTATATAAATCTGCAAATTAGTTTAAATCTTTGTTATTCCTTTCATTTAATTTTGTGAGAAAAGTTCGCTTTTAATCAGACATGCACACATTTTAATCTTGTGCCATGTAATTATCTTTCTTGTGTTACATACGTGAATATTTATTTAAAAGTAAAGTCTCAAATGTATTTTCAAAGGAAATTATTATTTTACAGCAATACCCTTAAGGAACTGGTTTGCCTGCATAGATAGCAATATATTTCTTGACAGCTTATTAAGCTCGCCATGAGATGAAAAACGTTCTATCAGAATGAATCGTGTGAGAATGAAGCGAAGATGCATACTTTTTTATTTTTATATTAAATATTCAGAGAATAGAGTAACCATATAAATATCGTACATTTTATACACCAGTGTAAATTTAATGCGGTATAAAAACTAATTTATCGTAGACATGTCATCTTTTGGAAACTTATCTTAAATTATATCTCAATAGTAACTTAAAAGGTAGTTTTTTAAATCTGATTTATAAAATAATACTATTTTATTAGAACATCAAACTATCAAGACCACTATGACCATCCGTTCAAAACCTGAGATCTCTTTCTTGAGAAGAAAGTAAAATTTTAAACGGACATATTTCGAAACCGTAAATTATGTTTTTGATTTTAATGTTTTTTCTAGTTAAATGCTCTCCATAATAATTTAAAGCACTCCGGTAGCAGGTTTGCAGAATATTAATTATCGTTCAGACGATATAAAATGATGGACACACCTAAGCTTAGATAATTGGATAATTAGACACCATTTTGCATTCCGAAAAGCTTTTGTGGCCTTAATACATGCCAAATATACCACTGCAATTTCCCAGCTAAATATTTGCTAAAATGGACGTTAATTTAGTCAACTGTAAACGCATTGCGAAAGAAAAACTGGCAAACATTATCAATTACGAAATAAATTCCGCCATGATTTTACGCGACACTACTCCTGAAAATTATAGTCGATGGCCTCAGATTTCTTTCGTAATAAGATGCTCCACATTGTTTGGTGCGTTTACACAACAGGGTAATTGGATCTTTGTCACCACCTCTTTGGAATAGATTACAAAAACTGACCTTACAATACATACAATACATGGACGTGTTGAATTACAAATACTCATGAATTTGCAAGCAGAGAGAAAAATTTGCGTTCAATTAAATCATGTTCATGATTATGGTTTTTGTGATGGTTTTCTAGTAACTGAAATTTTTTAAACATATCCTACCCCGTTCATATCAATTATTCGTTAAACTCAAGATATCTTTTATTATTCGCGGATTTACTTACAAAATTCTCCGTTTAATCGCTATTATAACCAAATTAAACTATTAAGCTTTTATCAAGTACATCTATAAAAAGGCCTACAACCTACCATTCGAGTCGTTTTTCAGTCATTATCTTTGCAAAGATACTGTGCTGTGTTCAAGGAACCTTGAAGCTATAACAATTGTGTTATTATTTCGCAGTTTGACGTGATTGTCTCGAATGAGACGAAAAACGATGTTGGCGAGACTATTAAAAAAGATCGTCTTCTCTGGAACTAAGTTGTAACAGCATGTAGCGTTTGGGTTGAAGGCTGCAATTTTCTACCCATACCTTCTATCATCTATCATAAATCTATTGATGCTCTTTAATCTGCAGTTTTCACAACTATTTTTGCATCAATCGAACTATCAATGAACCATAAATTATATATAACAAGCTGCTTTTAAGAACTTTTCTGAATTATGCTTGTTGATCATATTTATATATGATTTGATTCAGTTACTAGCGTTGTTTAAAGAAACAGGTTGATGATGTGTTTAATCAAAATATTCTTTCTGAAGATAGATTTTAGACGTCTTGATGGGGCTTCGGGCATTTTTCCGGTTCAGCATTTTATTCGATAAATCACCTTTACTTTTAATTAAACACACACTTTTAATAAAACACAAGCTTTATTGCTGTATTTTTAGCTGAGATCTTAAATGTTTTGAAATTATTAATGTTTGATTTGAGAAATGTATCTATTGTTTTAATTACAGGCTGAACTTGAAGCGCTGAAAACAAAACTTCACAAAATTGACACTGAAAGGACATCCTTGAAGAACGACAATGACCTATTAGAAGCCAAGGTATGTATGCAAACCATTTTCCAGAGTAGAAAAGCTTATTATAACCACTGCTTGAAGTTACTTGAAAAAAATGTTGGTCTTATAAAATCCAGAACGTCATTTTATATATAGAGCGTCGTATTGAAGTTAAAGCTAGAAATCTACCCAAGGCATGTTAAAAAGCAATTAAATTGTAAATGTGCCTCATTGACCCACACATTTGTTATTAACAAATTATAGAGTTAGGTGTCCCAGTTACATCATTTGAACTTAAAGTCTTCACTATTCGGCCTGGCTTTTTCTATGTTAAATTCTTTCACTTGGAAGCTATGAAGAAACGAAAATGCTAAATTAAATATGCGTAACGTCGAAATTCGACGTGGCCACATTATATCACGTTAGATTTCAGACGTGATTGGGCGTTATTTAAATGCTCATTTAATGTGGTTCAAGTTAATAACAACAGTCAATAGATAGCGGCAGAATGTTTATAGGCAGAATAGCGGCGTTTTGGCCATATTTAAGCCATCATCAGGGCTGTAGAGCGAAAACATTTTGTAAACGTTGTTTCATGATCTATAATATAAAATGATTCATTCAGTCATTGATGTAAAAGAAGCGAAACAGGCACAAAAGTAAAATAAAATATGAAGAAAATCAAATAAAAAGAAGTAAAATCAAATAAGAATAGGCAAAAACAATATTTTTTTACAAAATTCTTGTTGGCTATTATATTATCTATATATAGATATTATACAAAAAGAAGCAATATTGTTTAGCGGTAATTTAGAAACATAATACACAAACGAAAAATAAAGAATACACTGGTATCCTAGAGAGAGTACTCTGGTACATTTAATTTCAAATGTTTGCCTTCATGTTCTTGAAGAATCATTAATTTAACTTGTCCCACATTATAACACGGAAAATTTCGTATTTTCTTATGTTCCCTTATTCTTCTTAATATTTACACAAAAAACATGTTAAATAAATTCTGGTGATATACACAAATAAAAACACGTATTAACTCTTTATTTATAGGTACATTTTCTTTCGTTTAATACTTTTATTTTTACTTTTGATAAATAATGGTGATGATGCATAGTATAATTAGCCGTGCATTCATCAGAGAACCGACATTTGATCTCTGAAAGAACATCCATGCGTGAAAATTAAGTTTAATTTAGTAACATCTATTTAGTAGAAATCTGCTTTCATTTATTTAAATCTTTAATTTTAAAATACTGTTAAACTACTACTGATGATTTTCCTTTTTATTTTCCAAGATTCACCTTTTTACATAACATAACTATTAAAGTATCTACATACATACTATTTAAACAACAATGGAACTAATTCGGATCATTTACAGTCATATAGGTCATATTTTAAAGGATTAACGTCTTCTTTTTGGGCATTATTGATTATCTGAATGTTAAAGCCGAGGTTTAAGAAAATGGAAAACTCAAAAGAGAATAAACTAATGACGCCAGTTAATTAGCTCTTCGTAAGAAAGTTCACTAACTAACTACATCCTGCTGATGAGTGAGTGGAAATGATAAATAATGACAGAAAGACTATTTGCTCATCATTTGGAATATTGTGTGTAGGTAATGGGGGCCATTTGTAACAATTTAAAATAAAATAATTTATAGCAACTAATTACGAAGATTTGAAAACCATAGCAAACTTCTTAATGCATAAACTATTATATACATTTTGAAAACAGGCAGCAATTTATGGGGCATACAATTTGTTTAACATTACATTATACATTATAACATTGGTTTACTTGAATAATATACCAAGTGTGTCATTTAAACATTTTTACTAAGTTTATGTTTAGGTCCCTCTTAAACTTACATTTATGGTGAAAGTTGAGCATCAAACATAAAAATTTGAATTTTCGCTAGGCTGTTAAAGTTTGGCTGACTATGTGCAGTATAATTGAATTCAATACATTAATATTCAGTTTAACATTTTTCTGAAGTGTCACCGTGAGTTTCTCAATCTAAACGAATTACAATTTTCTATATTTGTCACTTAGTTTTCTGTAAAGTGTTTTATTTTATATAACGCAAGATTTTCCAGATGAATCTGTCTTGTTTTCTTATTTATTTTATACCCCATGAATGTGTCGCTTCAGTAAACCACCAGGTGAGGGGAATATCAGGAAATAATAAGGAACATATAGGCAAACACCGCCAAAGTGATATAAATTTTATGCGTATTCATCAGTTTATCTTGTACGAAAGCTATAGATTAACATATGTACAAATAGAGTATTTTAAGGCCTAATATTGTAAAATATTGCCATATATAATTTTCATGACATTTTAGTACCAATTTTTCATAAATTTATTGGCAATATTAGGTCATAGAGGATCTAATCGTTTAGACCACACAACCTGCGACTGCTCTCAATCGTTCCTACGTTACTATTCTTATTTAGGATATTCTTCTATATGTTTCTATTAAACTCTGATAGTACGTATATAGGAATATACCGACTGTTATGCCAATATAATATTCCCGTTAAAATTATAAATTTTTAAAACTTTTTTATTTTCTCGATTGGTTCTGTATTTTGCGTACGCCTCCGAAATGACTTCAAAAGGCCCGGCTGTTTCTCTAAAAAAAATTGTTTCACTTTCTAAATTTCAATTATTTTGTGTGCCATGAGTAATGCAAAAAATACTCTATAGGCTATTAATATCGCTAATGAGTTGATGCTATCAATCCATGTTGCGGTATTCACGTTTATTTCTGAGACACTGCTTATTGCGATTTAATTTTGCTGAGTCATGTATCATTTGGAAATACTAATTTTATATACCTATAACTATAATAAAGATAGCAGATTCTAATTAGAAATGTGGTTCTTATGGTTCAAAGTATCCACGCTACATTACTGAATAAGGACTATCTTGAAATTTGGGTTTTAATGTCTGTTGTTCTTAAGTTATATTGCAAATATAATCAATCTTAACATTTAATGAATAATTCAAGACTATTACCATGGGATGCCACAGATAAGATTGACTCAAAGGGTTATCTACCATCTTGTTATCATGCTAATAGTAGAAGGATCATTTGCAATAGGTATTGTAGCGATAAGGACGAATTTTAAATGTTGCATGCGTAATTGGCATATTCAAAATTCATAGTTGCATTACGATCGCATTATTCTGAATTACCTACGAGATTATGGCAGCGTCATCTAATCGCCAACATTAAAAACGACTTGCATATACTCTTGGTTAATTTGTTGAACTATGTAAATTTTTCCTTCGTATGTGGATAAATATGTACTTCCTTATTTCGATAACTTAATTTATCACATTTAGAATTGCACGAGTTAAGGCACATTGATGTACTAACTTTTACAGAAAGTAAGACAATTAGCGTCAAAATATTCTGCAGTTGATAACTATCTCCTAGCAAAATCTACATGCCATTAAGACTGTTTTGCAATAAAAACAATTTTTAACAGACGAGGAAATCCTGAGTTTGATTGCTGCAAACATAGTAGGCTGGAATAATGGGAAAGGATCCAAATAGCAAATGTAAAGTTAATATGTGGAGACCTATTAATAGATCAATTCATTTAACCACTGCTTGGGTACCGCTCCAGTGTATCATTTTAATTATCGGCTACATTTGTCTCGGTTAGACTGAACTAATAACTTGTAGGCTTCAGTTTGAAAATTTCGAAAATTTATTATCTTTGATTTGACAAATACCTATTGAAAATAAATATTGGTTTAAAACATTCATTCGAAATAAAATAAAAATACTTTCTATTCCCTTCGTACTTAATCTGTGAGAAAAGGTGACGGCGTGGGATTGGTTTTATCATAAAACCAACTGTCTCTAGTCTCTAGTAGCTTTTTGGTACGAATCATCTACGCCATTCTACACATTCGTGAGTGATGCTTTCGGATATAGTCATGTTAATTTCTAAGCTATAGTTACTGCTGGCGTCCTTTATTCTGTTGATTAGTTCATGTAAGTTGTCATCTTGTTAGTGAAATCCACATTATCATCTGCGTACCGGATGTTGTTCATTCGTTCTCCATTCAGCAGAATTCCCATTTCGGCATTCTCAAGGGCCTCTTTAAAGACTTCCTCCGAGTAGAGATTAAATATGAGTTGTGACAGGATACAGCCCTTTCTAACTCCTCAAAGAATGTTTACTGTGTCGGTTTGCTGTTCCATATTAATTTTAATAACAGCTGATTGACTCCAGTAAAGGTTTCGGATGATCCTTAGATATTTATTATCCATCCCCGTATTCATCAAAACGGCCATAATCTTTTCCTGCTTTGTCCTATCGAACCTCTTCTGGTAGTCTAAAACATGTAAAAATATTAGCGTTCATATCCCTACAGCGCCGGAACAGTACTTGTAGACAGAAAAATGCACCTCGTGTACACATGCCCTTCCTAAATCCAAACTGCTTATGTGACACTCTTTCCTCCCAGATCTTATAGATTATTCGATTAATGATTTTAAGGAACAGCTTTAGCATGTGCAATGTTTTAAGGAACAACTTTAGCACTCATACGACTAATTGTTCTGTAGTCACCACCGTTTTGGCTCCCTGTCTCTTTGGTAACGTTATAAATTCAGAGATAAGCCATTCCTTTGAAATGATCGCAGTATTGTAGATGCTATTAAAAATGCCAGTCAGGAATGTGATGGACTGTGAAGAAGTTTGATTGGGCGGTGGGCCTCCTTTCTTATAAAAAAATAACTATTCTATATACTTCTTTCAAGTTTCGTTAATACCTTCTCTATCTACAATCAGCTCTCCTGCATCATTTACAAGTTTTCCCAAATTTTTCCTTTTGACCCTTTCTGTAACTTCTTTCACCTTCCTGTGTACATTGAGCTCATCCAATCTGCTTTGCAAAATTCTATTTTCTGGCACTTGTCATCCAACTCTTTCTGTCTCGCATCTCTAATTTTCCTCTGCATGTCTCTTTGTATGCTTTTGCATGTTGAGGAACTTTTGTTTT